GTATAAATATCTATATATATATAGATATATATACTGTATGTATTTTTAGCTCTTTTTTTCACTGTTGTAACTAAAAATCTATGGTTACCAGTCCATTAAAATGTGAACGCTTAGTTATCCATTCAGAACATATTACATTGGTAAGTGAAAAAATAAGTCAGCAATATCTTTTATTCTTCTTTTCATAAATATCTTTATTGCTAAAGATACATTTACAGTGCCATAAGGGTCAATCTATTGAAGCTGGTAATTAAGAAAGCTGTTTCATGTAGTTTGAAGCCTGCAGGCATTTAAACATTTCCCATCAGCGGACAGAGAAATTTTTCACTTGACACTGCAGTTTCAGCGGCTGTCTGCTGTATAAACGTCCTTTAATCCTAAAACACTGAGATGTGAGCGTATTACAGTTTGTATGAATTACATTCAGCATAGGATATTTCTATGAAAAAACAAGCAGCTGCTGTATTTTCCATTAAAATGATGTGAAGGATCCCATGCAGAACAGGGTGTAGACACACAAGTGACTCATGTATCAGTTCTTATCAGTCCTTGAACACTTTCCAGGCTCCAATAAAAAGGACTGAGTGACATGCAAGCTGTCCCATTGTTCCTTGTCAGCAATGGCAAGACACACACAACATGAGCCTGTCACTTGTGTCCTTTATCGCTCCAACCTGCACAAGGTTATCAGTTGCTTAGGGCTCTTCCAGCCTGTATGCAATAAATGAGAAGGTTATGGGGTAGTGTGACGTCCGTTTTATCGCTCATGGTAATTAGGTTTTAGTTTAGGTTTGCTAGCCTGATATTAATGTAAAACAATGCATTTTTACACATACATTTTGTAAAATGGAAGCTGACTGTTGAGTCAATAGCACGTTTGGACATGAATAATGGCATTATATATATACTTGCACATGACTTCCACTTTAAAAAAAACATACAAATGTATGTTAATAATAATGTACAGAAAAGGAATAAAAGCTAATAAATGCAGGTTATGTAAAACGTATCTCTATGCTATGGTAGCTGTGTGGGGATGAATTGTTTGAGAACGTGATAGTTTAGTGGTTAGTTTGTGGTGGGATAGGCTTCCCTGAAGAGATGAGTCTTTAGGGATGGCCTGAATTCAGACAGAGTAGGAGCTAGACGGACAGGTTGGGGTAGGGAGTTTCAAAGGATAAGAGAGACTCTAGAGAAGCCCTGGAATAGAGCATGGGAAGAGTTGACGAGAGAGCTAGAGAGCAGGAGGCCTTGGGAGGGGTGAAGGGAATGGTTAGGGTGATACTTTGAGACCAGATTTGAGATGTAGCCAGGGGCAGAGTTCTGGATGGCTTTGTAAGTGGTTGTTAATATTTGAATTTTATCGTTTGGGTAATTATAATTGATTTCATATTTCTTGACACTTTAAAAATCTCATAGTTGTGGGATATTGTTATTCTATGCATTTTAGGAAAGTGTTGCCTGGATATATAAAGGAAGCAGGTGGTTGTCACTCTTTTGTGACACTTTGGGCTTCATGTACAGTATATAACTTCCCAGAGCCGGCGCTACCCTACAGGCGTACTGGGAGGGGGGCCCCTTTAAGACAGCCGCCGCGGCGGTGATCACACCTCTCTGTGCTCCCTCTCTCTCCTCCCAGCCGCTGCAGCTTCAGAGCGGCCAGGAGGAGAGAGAGGGAGCGCTGACAGGTGTGATCAGAGCCGCCTCTCAGCGCCGGTATGAAGAGGCGAATTTGCCACCAGGGAGCAGAGGAGCGGCAGGGATCCTTTTGATGAGGTGAGCGACATCAGGTTCCCGCCCCCCCATCATGCAGTTCTCGCCCACTCCTTCTAAAACACACCCCCACCTGCCGGCTACCTTTCTCAGGAGACAGTGAGAGGAGAGCTGTCACAAGAGTTCCAGCACAGTGCTGTGCTGGAACCCCTGTATTGGGGGTGGCAGGTTCTCTTTACTGTCATATGCTATCACACAGGGGCTTGTTAGCACCTGTGTGATAGCAAAAAAGTTAAGTGGAGAAAAAAATGGAATAAAAAAATTGATAAAACATTCTAAAATTATGAAAAAATAGGTAAAAAAATAATAATTAAAATGATAAAAAGTAAAAGAGAGTATGATTAAAAAATAAAAAAGTAACAAATAATTATAACAAATAAAAAAATAAGATAAAAAATTATAAAAAGTAAAAGATAATCAGATAAATCAAAATTTAAAAAAGTTAAAAAAAATAATTAGGTGCACCAAAATGAAAATTTTACAACCGAAACAACACCGACACAAAAAATAAAATGTCAGGCCAAAACGGAAAATGTTTTTTTTCTAACCTTCTCAAAAAATGTTTTGAAGCAGCTGTCTGAGGGCGCACGGGGGGCGCAAAAATGCCCCTTCGCCTGTGTAGGAAAAAATCCTTGCACCGGCCCTGTACTTTCCGCCCAGCCTATATCTGGGGGCAGATGCCGTTTGCACGGCACTAGTGTTCCTAGATGGCACTGACAAGCATAAGAAATTCCTATACTCGTCAGCCCTATATAGGGGCAAAAAGCATCCCTCCGGATAAAGCCTGGGAGGAACTTATATATAGGAAGTCGTTAAAGAAAGGTCCTTTTTGTTGCTCTGGGAGTAGCTAATAATGTGTTTTCTGTTCAGTCAGAAATGTAATGGATATTTGTTCTCTATTCTAAAGACACACAAATCCAGCGAGCATTTGTATAACAGAAAAACCCGTTTATGATAATTAATAACAACATAAGATAATTTTTAAAACTACATACACATAACCTGACATTGCAAGAACAGACCACAAATTATCCAATTAACATTTTACCCAAAACACCCCCTTGTCACCCTTTGTCATTGTGAGGCTTCCTGTGACTATTATTACAATAAAAAAAAAAGCAGTGGCTCGCTGTAAAAAGAAA